TTCGTGTATAGATGAATCTCCATGAAGCAACAGCCAAAGATGATAAATTGTGGCAGATTGCTGAAAGGAACAGTCCTTCGTGTGCTTGGTACCTTTCAGGAGACGTCTTTTGGGGCGAGCCACAGGTCTGATGTATTGCCCGGTGCACCTGGTTGAGACTTGGTTGAAGACTGGAAGTGCTTGGATCTTGAACTTGCGCCTGCTTGTTGAACAAGTTTTGACATGGCAGGTAAAGCTGCCGACCGCAGAGAACAAGCCGATCCGCGTGGGCGAAGGAGTCGCTTGCAAAGAGAACGAAGCCCAGCTAAGGTCCCCCGAATTTCACCAGACCAGGACTCATGTCGTTGTGAAGTGGCATAGATCGTTGGAGGCTGTGCCAGGAGCTTTTCCTAGGCACTTTGCTCAGGAGCTCAGCCGCCGGCCACGGAGCCTTTGGCGGTGCTGGTTGATGGCGGCAGCGCCAGTGCGAGCGAGGCTTCGTTTTTTTTTTGGCGACACCGGATGAATGAATCTGTTCAAATAGTACCAGGTGTTCCCTCCAAAGGGAACGCCCCCTATTTTCTCAACCTGGGGTCTATAAATCTGGGGAAATTCCCATTACTGGGACGACTTCTAGCTGAAATTGTGCACAGGACCCCGTTCCCACAGTGCCCCTTTGCCATGTTTGCACCACTCCGGGGCACCCATTGGGCGCCGTTCCAACCGTGGGAGCGGCTGCCCTTCCTGCCCTCACTTCCCTTTCAGCCGCGAGCCCTCAGTTCCGGACGCCGCACTCCCAAGTGACCCGACAATCATTCTCAGCTTCCTTTCAGTCAAGAAAGAGCCGAAAAGGTGTTGAGTCCATACGCCCCATCTTCATACAGTGGGTTTGGGGCAGCCGCCAAGTCATCAAGCAACAGAGAACAAGCATCAGCTGGGACATGATTGCTTGCTGGTGCTAGAGCACCAGGACTATTGGGCAGGGCAGAATGTCGGATCCCACCTTCATTTTGTGCTCTTCAAACACATGACCCAGGTGCGTTTAATTTCATCTCGGTTTCCATTTCTCCATCTTTGAGGTCTGAGTTCAGATCTCAGACTCTGCCAGAGGCATTTCTCCGAAGCCCTTTCGCCGTAAACCTAAGCGAGCGATTCCCAAAGCGAGGTGTTGGCGGTGGCGCTGCGGGGCAACTGCCGGGCGCCGCTGCTGGGCCAGCGGAGCTTCGGCAAGGCGATTCGTTGGCCGAGTCGACTGGGATTTGGCCGTGAATTTTAATAAGGAGCCACCTCCAAAGTGGTTGGGGGATGTAAATCCCCCACCGTGCCCACCAGAGGGTCCCTGATTTAGAATCACAGACATGTCGAAACACGGACCATGCGATCATCAAATCTCTCCGATCTTCGGCTTGTTAGTAGGCAGTCTTGCCAACACGGGATATGTTGGTGCAGAAGATTGGCGACATGAATCTGGGAGACTGCGGTCTTGTCAAAAACGGCTGGAGATTTCGGCAATCTTCTCTTTGGATGGCCTTTTCAGCAGTTTGTGTGAGTTCGGATGAGTTCAAGGAGCAAGGTGCTAGATTCTTTTCAGTTGAAGAGGTAGCAACGAGGCCTCCTTATGCCCCAAATTGAAGACTGGATCCCTGAAGGCGGCGGTGCAGGGGGTTTTTGGACTGCCCAACAAGGCGCGGAGGGGTGGATGGCTGGATGGCTGATGAAGAATGCCTTGGAAGGGCCCCAAAATCGGTTGACACCCATCCACGCACACAGGAGAGGTGCGTTTGGAATCGAGCACGACGGGAGGGGCAACCCCTCATCTTGGATTATTTGGGCCTTTTCGGAAGCAAAATCTGCCTTGTGCAAACGTCTTGGGCCTTCCTAGGATTGTCGCTCAAAAGCTCACTCTTGCTATCCTTCCCACAAACACGCGACAACTTGCTTTTCCAGCTGCAAACCTTTGCGGTGGCCTCTTGCACAAGCGCTTTGTCTCGAGGCTTTCCTTGGCGGCTTGATTGGTGGCAATTTTTGGGAGGCTGGCTTCAAGAGCAGCATGAGCGACACTTAGCATCATCCAGGGACCACGGGGGCACAGTGAATATCTGGCTCACATGCATCCCTGGCATAAGAGAGGTCAATTTGACTCTAGCGTATTGGCAAGGATGCTTAGCTACGGCAGAGTTTGTAGCAAGATTCGGAGCCTCGATGGTTCTGAAGGAAGCCACCAAGCCACTAGGTCAAAGTTTGAGCTCATTTTTCTTCACGAAGCCGGCAAGCTTGCACGGAAACCGCGGAACTTTGCTGCAGGGAAACCAAGGGGTCAAGGAAGTCGTGTGGAGGTGCCCGTTCTGCCTCTGATTTCCACGTGCGTTCTTTTTTGAGGCCGGGGGGAAAGAAGCCACCCGCCCTTCCGCCCTTGCCCCTTCCCCCCCCCCTTTCCGCTCCCGGCGCCTGAAAGGAGGCGGTGGCGCTCACGGTTGCGCGCTACAGCGGCCCCGGGGGCACCAGTATCGAGGGTGCGCTGCATCGACTGGGGGGGAGGGCTCGCTGGTCTCGAGTTTTGAGTTGTTGATTGGGTTGGTTGGGTTGGTTGGGTGATCGATTTGGTGGTTACAGTAGGGTTTGTTGGATTGGTGGGTCGTGATGAGTTCGGTGGTTTGGTTGGCTGTTCGTAGTTGGGGTGAAGTGTGTTTGGGTGAAGCTCATTGGTTTGGTAGCGCTGGTTAACTGTGTTTTGTTGTGACTGTTGTTTTGGTTAGGATGGATGGGTTCTTTGTTGAGGATGGATGTGCAGGAATGCCACTGACTGACCGACAAATATCCGGACAACCGCAGCAGTGACGGTCCCCAAACCCCCGCTTCGTTTTCCGGTTCTCTACATGGTGCACCTGTCTTGGACGTGGTGTGCACTGTGGGCGTTTTGGTGGGGTCCGAGCAATTTTTTTGCCATGGAACCGCAACACCAGTTCAATGAAGGAACCCCAAACCGATTTCAATGAAAAAGGCCACCTCTATGGATGGCTTTTGGGGTGCACGTGAATATGCAGATAGTGAGAACCTTCTTGGTGCGTCAATCAATTGACAAAAAAGGAAGCCTCAAGCCATTTTGGATACGGCTCTATTTCTAAATGACATGAGACTATGTACTATGGCACTGATTCGATGATTCTCCATAAGGCAACATGATTCTGATTCACATAGTGGAACACCTCTGAAGGATAGATGGCATTGGGTTGATTGGATGCATGTGAGCTCACCCAAGGAAGCGCTGGTTGAGCAACACCAACACAGACACAGCAGCTGCGAAGCAGCAGTGCCAAGTCATGCAGGGGTCCTAGTGGGGTCCAGCCAATGAAACAAGACCAACTCGAATGGTTTGTTTTCTCCTCGGGTTGATGCTCCGTTCGGTCCTCCATCAGGCATGCTCCTTGGTTTGGTAGAATGCCTCGTCAGTTATTTGCAGTGAAACAATAAGTCGATGGAGAAAGGGATAGGGGGAACAGCAAACAATTGGAGCAACTTGTTCGTGAACCCGATAAAACATTTTGGGTACCTTAGGATTGGTGGTTTGGCGGTTACGGGGGGTGGCCCCCTTTCACAAATCCAAACCGCCGCCACTTCAGAGGAAGGCAAACCCCCTGTTTTTGTTGATGGTACGTGGGACCCCTTTTCGACTGCCAATTTGAAGCCAAGCTAAGCATTGCAAAACACGGGTCTGGGGCAAATGGAGATTCTCCAAACCACCCGTGCAAACGAGTGAGCTCACTGCAAACGCCATAGGACGGGTAAGCTAATCAGCTCAATCCCCCAGTCAAAACCACTAATTTAGGTTGTGTGAAAGGAGACCCCAAAGGGTTTTGTTTCCCTGCGATTCCCGAAAAGGAAAGCACAACCCTTCAGAAGAGTACCTCAAACAAAATCAAAAGGCGCGCCCCCAGAAATCCAAATCCTTATGGCGCATGGGCCCCTTGCAACCGCATGCGGTGGCATGGGTGGACGGCCGCTTCCTTGGTAGGCGGCTTGGAGCCGGATCTGCCGGGCCCCGGCGTGGCGCTGGGGGGTTTCTCCGCCGCGGGGCTCTTCGGGGCTCTGGGGGGACCGGCGCACCTCGAAAGGAGATTTGGGGGAGGGGACATGGGTCAAAAATAGGTCTCCAAAATGGAACCCTGGCAAATGGAAACATGGACTGAAGCCTGTGGTCCCCTGTTGGTTTAAATTTGACCCATACCCACATGGTGCTGGAGGCGGTTTGGTGGGGTCGCCGGGTGTTTGGACACTCGACATGAAAGAGCAGGCCAAGTGGGCAAAGTGGAAGCCTCCCTTTCCAAGATCTCGTCCAAAAAGAGGTTTGTGCACATCCATGTTTGTTGGGAAGAGAGTAAATCGAATCCCTATTTGTTTGGTGGGTTCCCCACTTGAAATGACCATCCCCCAAAAGGGTTTCCTTGTTTTACCTGTATCGCTGGGCAAGTGGGTGTAACATGATGTAACCAAAGTGTCCGCCGACCCATTTTGGTGGGTTAGATGTGTTTTGCTGTTGAGCATATTGCATGATATGAGGTTCGTCAAAATATGCAGTAGTCCATGGTCAATTTGGGAGGTGAAGGGGAGACTTACACCAAATCCAGTGCCATGGGCTCTTGGTCATGCTCTTCAAGAGGGAGCATTAGGCTGACAGCAAGGTCGTGATTTTTTTGTAATTTGGGTTCTCCTGAGCCAACCCCAACAAACCTAGATCCAAACTTGCCCCGCAGCCCGGACATCAATCAGATTAGTCCCCCAACTTTGGATTGTATTGGCCAGATCACAGGCTCCTTCCTTTCTTCTCTTTGTAAATGGCTTGCAAATCTGGTGTATATCTCTTTTCTCCATATTTGAATGGCCTCTCTGGCTTTTCTTCAACGACTCCGAAAAGCATAGCACGCCGCTTGCGCCCGAGGCAAAGCGGGGAGTACACGGCGCTGGACGTGGCGGAAGCCTCCAAGGTGGCGCTGGCGGGGTGCAAGGCCGGGGAGGCTTGGTGAGCCGAAAAGGCGAAAAGCGGAAAGCTGCGCCTGGGCTCTTGGGGGCTTGGGGGAGGGTTGGGGGGAGGGGGATGGAGGATTTGGAGGGTTGTCACTGCGTGGCTTCGCCCTGTTCTAATTACTTTGGCTCTCGTAGTATGGTGGACGCTTAGAAGCGATTTTGCGCCTTGAGGGTATTTGTATGTTAGGGCTAGGGGCTGCGCGCTGGTTGGGATGAGAGAGGTGGTCATGCTTTGCTAGCTGCCAGGCGTGCAGATTTTGTGCACGGCATGTCGGCTTCCAACCGGCGTTTCGGCTTCAGGGGTGCAGCCCAACGCTGCCAAAAGCCCCGTAGCGGGTGAGTTTCATTTGGTCCCCTCTTATGGGTTCAGGGCGCCGCTTGGGCGACCCGGCGAAACGTGGACGTATCAGATCGTGCCACTCAGGGTAAGATTCAGAGGTGACATGGCGGAAACCGGAAAGAGCTGACGCGTTTCGGCCTTGACATCTCCACTCCGCTCTTCCCATGGCTCCAGAGGCAGGATGCTGATCGTGGGTGTCAGCAGTCTCGGGATGGGCCCAAAGGGGCAGCCTGAGAAACAAAGGGCCTGAGGCGGACTTTGTGAACAAATTTTTGCAAAATAACACCTAAGTGAGCATGGGTCAAGCAAAGATACCTGCTACTTTTGCTTCATAATTGCTTTGGGCACTAGTTTGAGACTTGCAAGTTGAACTAAGTTCAGTTGAGTGCACTTTTGTATTCTTGAAGCCGCACCCCAAGTTTGTTGATGTTATTCTGACAGTTCGTGGAAGTCTATCGCTAATGTGAGAAGTGCCCCGTCATCATCATAGCACTCCAGAGGTATGCATCCGGCCCGCTGAGGGAGCCAAACACACATAGAGACATGTCGCTCATGAATTCATCTGGGTATGGGTTAAAATGCAACCACCAGGGAACCGCAGGTTTTAGTCCTTGGTTTCATTTGCCAGGGTTCCATTTTGGGGATACCCAATATTTGACCCACAGCCATTTGATCTGCGTTTTTGCTCGTGCGGACAAGTGAAGCCGTCTGCTGTGAACGATGAAGTCCTCGAAGTGGTTCGTCGCATTTTTCGAGCGGTCTCCAGGTAGTGCCGGAGGATGGCCGCTTTCCATGTGATTGACACGGGTCAGGTTTCCAAGCGACTGTGATTGCGTCCCCATGTCCTACTGGGCCGCCGCGAAGCCGAAGATCGCCAGCCCAGGCAATCCGCCTCCCGGAAATTCCGGAGAGATCTGTCGGAAAATGCGCTGAAGTCGGCGTTCTTGATGTCCTTGGCCAGCTAGGGCCATAGGCAGTGACTGCAAGCCAGATGGTAGTATGTGCGTCTTGTTTGTAGTAGCCCAACGCCTGATCCTTGGTCCACCAGCCGAGATTTAATCAGGAACTCCCTGTCCACCAGGCCCTGTGTGTTTTTGTCCGCCCCTATCTCGTTGGCGCCTTGCTCCTTCTTGTCTCCATACTGGTAGTCCAGGCTGTACCGGCATCGTTTTGCATTGCTCGCCATTCTCGTTCGTCAGAACCACCTCCTGTGGAACAGAGTTTCACTGTTCACCTCATTCAGCTTCAGCTCCTTCCGACCTGTGTTGGTGGTAGCCCCTCACCAGTCTGGTAAGCATGCTCTGCCAGGGCCTGGTGCTTGTGCCTGAATATGTTCCACTTGAAGCTGAGCTGCTCCTCCGTCACTTCCCGCGGGGCAAAAACGAGCTCACGCTTCTTGTGGCAGCCCATGGCGTTGCTCTTCAGGAAGTAGTGCTTCTCCACCACGACGCGAGGCAAAGGTGACCTTGCTCTAGGATGTGATGAGCGCTGACTCATCTCTTCGCCTTTCTATGCGAGACCCTTCGGGAACAGGTGAAAGTGCATAGGCAGAGCTGGTGTGGTAGTCATTGTTGAACTCTTCGCTTTTTACACGTCGACCGCCGAAGGCTCCTCTTTCTTGTCCTTCGGCATCAGAGCTAAGCTTGAGCTTCTTTCCGCTCCAAGTGACGCTTCTCAAAGAACTCGTTCGACTTCTCTGCTCTCGCGCCTCTATCAGCCACCTTGACATTGAAGTTGAATTTGATCTGAGATCTTCACTCGATGCAACTTTCTGTTTTTCTTGCACTGGCAGTGCATCAGGTTCCTGCTCTTCAGTCTCTTCGGCTTGCCTCTGCTCTTCCATTTCTTCATCTTGCTCTCTCGCACCATCAGTCTCGCCATCCTTGAGCTGAGGTTGAATCCAGTTCCACCTGCGGGAGTGGCGTCGATTAGGTCGCGTCCCACGTCGTAAACACGGCTAATACTCTGCGGACTCACCGCCAGCAGCATTTCATATGGCCGTGGGTTCCCTCGTTTGCAACGACCAGCACAACTCCTCTCCAACAGCTCGGTCCGGGCTTCGAAGTAAAACACGTAGGAGTGGGAAATGGTCCCACTTGTTGCGACCGCACAAGTCTTTGTATGGTTTGCTTCCATAGTCCACGCGTCGTTCGATTTGGGCACCAGTCAACACCGGGTCATGTTCCTCCAGAACCCTCAGCATAAGTTGCCACCGGGTCTGCCCAGAAGATCGTACCCGTTTAAATCAAGTGGTTGACTGCACGTCCATCCGTATTTCTACACCATTCTGGTCACTCGGTTGCGGCCGAAGGGCAACCTTTGTCAATCTTCGCTGTGCATTCTGCACTGTTGGTTTAAGGGCTTCTCATCTCTTAAGCGATGTGGATTCTAGCATTTCCCTGGTTGGCGGCGCAGAGCTTTTTCAAGGTCATGGGATGTCACAAAATAAATACGAAAGAAGTGCCCCGGAGCAGTCTTCCTAAGTCCCTTTTCTCGCGCAATGAACAAATTAGAGGGGCTCGATGGCCCAGTGCTACTTGGGGTGCCGATTCATAGATTGTGCATGAACATGGCAGCGTCGTTGTCAGATCGATCAAATTGAGTGTTCCCCTCGCTCGCCACTGTTGGATGTTTGAGGTTTTTATGGGAGAACTTGCCTCGCAAGCCTGATATATGACTGCTCCAGACTGTTTGCAAGCTGATCAGGATCTTGTGAACACCTTTCAAGTGGTAACACTTCCCGCCTGCTTTCGTGGGTTCTGGAACGAGGCCCATGTCCCGGCAGACGTCCCGGCAACGAGGCACTCCAAGGGGGAATCAGCTTGAGTCTTGAGGCTACGTGTTTTTTGTCCTGCGACCTTTTCCAACTACAGGCTGGCAATGAAGAGGGAACATGCAAACTAGGTGTTTGCCATCTTTTGCAGTTGGACCAATTTGTCTTCATCTTGTGTCGAAGGTGCCAGAATAAGCAGATGATTTGCAGCTGCCTCAATAGCGGGTGGTCTGATGCAATGGTTTGGCAAGTGGTTACAGGAACTGACGTAGGGGCAGAATGCCGATCAAGGTTCCAGGACAATTGGCCAACCAGGGATTGGCCAAAGAGGGACCAACTTGTGCAACTGACAAGCAACTGGTACGTTTTCAGCAGATCTCTATCGAAGGGTGCTTGGCAGCGTTGCAAATGGCTAGCCATGACCTATTCGTCTGCCCCTATCCGCAATCTTGCCCTTGTGAGTTTTGGTGCGAAACAAGCAGTTTTATTGGTTTTTTGGCTGCCTAGTGGATCAGAATTGGTTCAAGTTCTTCCCGTCAGCGGAAAAATGGCAATTGAAGGCGGGAGTATTCCAAACGGGGCACTTGTGTTCCAGCTCCACTCGGAGCGCAGGGGCGCGCATTCGATGAATCGCCGGGGGCTTGGAAGCTCACAGCTTGAACAAGATGCGGCTGGCCAAAGTTGACCAAGATGTGACCAAATTGGCCGAGTGTTCACACAGATCTAACCAGTGGCATGGCCTGGCAAACCGACCAAATTCAAGCCTGCGCCTTCCGAGAGGGGACATTTAGCGCGGCGGCAACATGGAAGAACACAAACCACACAGGCAAGGATGGACAGGCGACTGTGCTTGCTTGGCAATGCGATCTGCAGACATGTCAAGCGATATGCATCATCCAACATGCAGCCCCTCAGTTTGATATTGATGCTTGGCCGGCAAGACAAAATGCGATAATTTGGGTTTCGGTGCCACACAGGCAGAGGCTCCATAGAGGTTTCGCACACATTTCCTTCCTGGATCCCGAGGACTGCGCCTCCGCCGCGAGGCAGGGGTTTTCGGAATCCGGGGCCGAAGTCGCCCCCGTTGAGCAAGTGCCTGGTGACCACAGCTCAGCTGGCTTCGTCGACAGTTGCTTGCAATGGGCAGACCAGTGAAGGCTGGAGAATTCAGGGAAGCGACAGGATCCTTTTCTCCCAAAGCAGCGGAGTATTGAATATTGATTTCGAAAGTTTCATATCATCTTGCTTCTGCCTTCTTGGGCCACCGTTTGGGCCTCTCGTAGAAGGTCGGTTCACAACCTGTGTGCTTTGTCTCCATGTCAGCAGCTTTGTCTGTTCTTTTCTTACACACTGCCTCACATGTTGCAAGTTTGCCCAATCTGGCATTTTGAAACTTGTGTGGGTCAGGTTGGTGGCTGTTGTATCAGCGACAGTGGCCGAGGTGACCTTTTGATTGTTCAGCAAAACTCAGTTTGAAGATGGGGCATCATGCTGGAAACAGTGTGCTGGCAAAATGCAGAATAGATATTCTACGTCGGAGACCTCTTAGTTTTGGCGGCTGTTTCACAGGAGAGATTGTCGCCATCCACTTGGCAATGCCAAGGGACATCCATTTTACGATAAGACTCAGCTCAACTTGCTGGGGTGTGTCACTGACAGACGCAGGCGCGAATTCACAGGTGAAAGGACCCAGCTTGGAAGGTGGAGTTGTCATGTTGTGTTTGCCCATTTTTGGTTGCGATTTTACGAGGGACGCAGAAGGAATGCGGGAGGGGGGGGAATTTTAAGCTCGGCTTCTGCTTCAGGACTTCGCCTTCGGAAGCCTGCTTGGGGAGGCCGCGCAGAGTTGGGGTGGAGGGTTTGGCAGAGGGGTTTATGACAGGAAG